TGCCAAGTGTGCCAAGACAAAGTAAAAGAGATGCAAGCACACTTGGCAATATGCAAGAGGCAAAGAAATCTCTGAAAAAGAATCCAAAAAGTAACTATTGCAACAGCATAGAAGAAATTAAAAGAAGAAGAAAAGATTCAGATTTTCTTACATATTTTATACACAGTACTCTTTGGGAAAACAGAGACAGAGGAAGTTAAAATAAGAGAAGCACTAATGAAAGGCCTAATTCCAAAAGAAACACAAGACAAACTAGCAGAATTATTAAACACAAGATTAAGACAGCAGTTTGCAAATACAGTAACAATAACGGCCTAAGACATATTTTATGAACAAGTATAGAGAATATATTGTGAAAAAATTATCAAATAGGAGAAAAAAGTTGGAATAATAGGGAAAAGTAAAAGGAAAAAAGGTGAAATTCTGAAAAAAGCAGAAAAGGAAAAAAAGGCAGATTAGAAAAAAACAGAAAAAAAAAAAGAAGAAAGAAGAGAAAAAGAAAAACAAGTTGAGAAAAAAGTAATGAAGACAATTTTAAGACTTGTTATGGAAAGGAGAAGACCCTTTTATTATAGACTTTAAGTAGTCAGACAAGTAGCTTACTTCTGTTTGAAGTAATATGGCAGGTTGCACTTAAGTACTGTTAAGGTGACCGGGTGATGCTAGACTTAGATATTAGAGAAATGTATGTAGTTACAAATATAATTTCAAAAACTCAATAAAGTACTAGCATGACTGCTTATAATTAAAAAAAAAAATAAAAAAAATAAATAATAGTACTGTAATTATATATTATACTTTTATATTAGTTATTTGTTATTATAACTAATATAAAAAAAAATAAAATTTTAATTTTATTGATTTTTATATTGAATATTATTGGGATAGCAATAAGTACTATAAGTGGCACTTACCTTTTTATATTTACAATGATTTTTCAAGCAATTACCTTTGCAAAGGCATTTTGTAGCAGTTATAGAGTCAGAACTTTGTTGAATAGCAGCTTTACAAGCACTTATATAAGTGTTGAGAATATTTACAAGTTCAGGATATTTTCTAAAAGTTCTGGTAATAGGAACCAATTTGATAGCTGAATAATGTTTATTTAATCTTCTATTGATATTCTAAAATATATGTGTCATTTTTAGTGATTTCTAACACTTTACAATATATATATTGACAATCAATACTAGCATAATCAACTTCAGAAATTTGAACCTAAACCAAATTATTTGGTTCAAATTTTCATAGATGTTTTCTTCTTTTTTCTATTTGCTGCCTTATTTTTTCTGTATAAACTTTCAGGTGCTTAGTAGCCTTAGCCTTGATAACATTTTGAGTCATGTAAAAGGATGGAAATGGATGTGAATCTTGATTCTTAAAAAAAAATAAAAAATAAAAACTAAGTATTAATTCTTGTTTATTTCAAGCAAGTTTATATCAAAAGACAAAAGGCAAATACTTTTATAGCTTATTATTTTTTTTACTAATTCGATACTTACTATTTGTATGATCATATTATTTAATGGCAGTCTTTAGAGTTAAAATAATTGTTTCAAATTTAAATTTTGATCAAATAAATAAATAGATAAAATAAAATAATAAAATAAAATAAAATAAAATAAATTTTTATTAAAAAAAATTTAAATAAAAAATAGAAAAATTTGAAAATAATTTAAATAATAAATAGCAAATAAAACATAAATATATAAAAACATCTAAATTTTATATTTAATGCTTAATTATATTTACTAGGTTTTTTATAGTACTAAATAGTGATATTAAGTTATTACTTATTACTTAATACTAATTATACTTACTACTACATTAGGTGGTAGTAGCAGCAGTAAACTCTAAAATTCAAAGATAAGTTGTTATTAATTTTTTTCTAATTAAGGTATTACTTCTTACTTAATACTAATTACACTTACTGTTACATTAGGTAGTAATGACAGCAGTGAACTCTAAAATTCAAAGATAAGTTGTTATTATATTTTGCCCAATTAAGGCATTACTTTTTATTTAATACTAACTACACTTACTACTATATTGAGTGGTAGTGGTAGCAGCAAACTCTAAAAGTTCAAAGATTAGTTGTAATATTTTTCAATTAAGTTATTACTTTAGTTATTGTTTATTTAATACTAACCTTATTTATTACCACATTGGGTGGCAGTGGTAGTGGCAAATCCTAAAAGATCAAAGATAAGTTGTTATTATATTTTTCAATTAAGTTATTACTTCAGTTATTGTTTACTTAATACTAACCTTACTTATTGCCATATTGGATGATAATGACAGTGGCAAATTCTAAAGATCAAAAATAAATTGTTATTATATTTCCTAATTAAGTTATTACTTTAGTTATTGTTTGCTTAATATTAACCTTACTTGCTGTTACATTGGATGGTAGTGGAAGCAATGAATCCTTAATGATCAAAGATAAATTGTTATTATATTTTCTAATTAAGTTATTATTTCAATTATTACTTATTCAATACTAATCTTATTTACTACTACATTGGTGATGGTGGCAACAGCAAGTCCTAAAATATCAAAAATAAGTTGTTGTTATATTTTCCAATTAAGTTATTACTTCTTACTTAATACTAACCACATTTACTACTATATTTGGTAATAGTAAAAGTGGTGAATTCTTAATAATCAAAGATAAATTGTTATTATATTTTTTAATTAAGTTATTACTTTAATTATTACTTATTTAATACTAATCTTACTTACTATCACATTGGATAATGGAAGTAATGATAAGTCTTAAAATATCAAAGATAAGTTGTTGTCATATTTTTTAATTAAGTTATTACTTCTTACTTAATACTAACTACATTTACTACTATATTAGATAGTAGTAGCAGTAGTGAACTCTAAAATTTAAAATAAAAACAAACAGTTATTTTTTCAATTAAAATAATACTAATATAATAATATTATTTTTCTAAAAACTTACTATATTTGTTATATTAGATGGCAGTGATAGTAGTGAAGTCTAAAATTTTCAAATTATGATCAGCTAATTGTTTAAACTGAATATATATTTCTTATCTATTCTTTACTATACTCTCATTAAATAGAAATAGTAGAACCTAAAAATTTTAACGTAACTACAAACTATTATTCAAAATTCAAATTTAAACATTGGTAATTAATAATTTTTACCACATCCTCATTAAGCAATAGCAGTGGCAAAACCTAAACTAAAAAAAAAGATAAGTATAAATAGTTATTTTTTATTTGAAGCATTATTATTAATTACTAATAATTACTATATTTTTTTTAGGTAGCACAGTAACAAAACCTAAAAGCAAACATGATCAATTATTTTTTAATTAAAATGTTATCTGATTCAATAGTTACTGCATTTCTATTAGGTGAAGGTAGTAGTAAAACCTGAAATATCAAATTATATAAGCTCCTATTCTTTATCTTTTACTCAACACTTACTGTATCTTTCATATTATTATTTGGTGATGGCATTGGTAAGATCTAAAATTCCAGAGTTAAGTATAAAAATTATTCTCAAATTATTTTTTCATTCAATACTTTCAATACTTACTATATTTTTTCTCATATTAGATAATAGTGAATTCTAAAATTTTAAAGATAAGTAATTTTAAATTTAATATTAAATTTAGGTTTAATTTCTTATTAAATGCTTACTATATTCATCATGTTTGGCAGCAACTATAACAAAATCCAAAATTTTAGATAAGTATAAACATTATTTTAAATAAAAGTATAAACCTTTGTTTAATACTTACCATATTTTCCATTATACTAGGTGACGATGATGACGATGAACCCTGATTTTTTTTTTTGAAAATGATTTCACATTTTAATACTTAATTATAACTATAAATTTTTAACTCTAATATTACTATGACACTATGTGGCAATGATATTAATAACCAATCTTGAATTTTTTTTTATTGAATTAAGAATAACTTAATATTTTAATACTCAATTATAATTATTTATTTTTTTTCTTATTTTAATATTACCATTATGCTAGATGATAGTAGTAAATTCTAGAATTTTGAATAATTCATATTTCAGAATAAGTACTTCTAATTTTTAAATATTTTTAATACTTATCAGATACTGTAGTATACTATTAGATAAGAAATTTTAAAAATTTAATATAAATTTTTATCTAGTTTTTTGTTTCTACCTCTATAAATAAAATTAATGCTTATTATGAAAAACATGCTATTACTGTTATTATTCTTGTTTTGTAATAAATTTTCACTTCAATTTTTATTAAACATATCATTTATGTTATCATCTTTATTGTTTTCCATCTGGATATTATTTTTATTGTTATTATCAAACTAAATATTATAATACTCTTCAATTTGAACATCATCAAGAATATTTTTCTCATCTCTAATTTTTTAAGACCAATTCTGATCAAAAAGAACACAATTACCATGAGGTTTATAACTAAAAACTAACTCAAATAGCCTTTTGTTAGTAGCATGATATATAGATAAATTTATTAAATAAACTATAGTTAGCAAACCAACTATCTAACATAGATCATTATTTTTATTTTGTTAATCTTCAAGTTACTTTCTAAGTTTATTCTTTAATACAAAGTTTACTCTTTCTACTGAACCTTGAGTTTGTGACCTTCTTGGCTTTTCATGAATAATTTTAAGAATTGGCCAAAGTTTTGTAAAACTATTAATAATCTCTGCAGTAAATTCATGCCTATTATCACTATATAAAAAGATCAGCAAACCAAATATAGTAAAAATATCAAACAAAAATATAGCCATTTTTGTTGCACATTTATCTGTAAAAATGCAGGCCTAGAAAAACATATAAAGTGATTCTTGGCATGTGCTATCTATTTAAATTCATTATCTTTTCTGGTTCACATATCTATAAAATTGATCTAATAAAAAAAATTGAGTATTGCAAAGGGAAAAGTCTGAATTTTCAGGTTTTCTCTTTGTAATACTCAAATAAAAAAAATTTAGTTAAATGATAAATAAGTTTATAATATAAAATAAGATTTAAACAATTTATAGTTCATACTACATACTTGAAGTTATTGCATAAAAAACTTGCTGATAATAAGTTTTATTGCTAAAGGTTTGATAGATAATCTGCGCATTTTGCATATTTTACATTTTTCAACAAATTTATTAACTAAGCACCTTTTTATATTATAGTATTTATCTGATACTGTTTGTAAGTAGCTTTAGCACTCTCATGTCCAATAGCCAAATGTTATTTTGTGATAATATAATATAATCTCTTTTTTAAAGCAACAGGTTTTCAAGTATTTAATTTTTCTTTGTATATTAATGTTACAATACTACTAACTCTTTAATATAAATAATTATTCTTAACTTGGTAACATATATTAGGGTTTGCAATATGAATATCTTGAGGATTATTTAAAATTTGTAAATATTTATTAGCAATATTCTCTAAAATTAATGCTTTAGATCTTTTTTTGTTACTTAAAAATAGTAAATATTTATCTATAATCATATTAAATATTTGAAGTGCTAAAAAGATGTATTCATTAAATGAAGCTATTAAGAAAAAAAATTAAAATTAAAAAGACTACTTATTGTATTTATTGCATTTTTAATTTTATCATAATTAGTATTTTTAAACTCAGACTATGTATAATGTAATTAGAAATAATTTTTATTATAATACAATTTATAAAATTAACTTTTTTATAATAAATTAATAATTTTATAGTAAAAAATTTTTAAAAGCTTTTTATAAAATAATTTACTATAATTTATACTAAACTTTATAATAAATTTTTTTAAAAAAATTTTTTATAAAATATGTTTATTATATATTATTATAAAATAATTTAAAACAGTAATTAATTATTACTAAAAATATAAATATAATCTACAATTTGCATATAGTATTAATTATATATTACTTATTATTTTCTAAAAATATAAGTATAATTTGCAATTTGCATATAGGCAAAATTGGTAGCCTAAAATCAAATTGCAATCTAAACTGCCCCAATTGACAATTGGGCCAATTTGCATCTGGGGTGCAACATATATATTTATTATTATATTTTATATCTTATATTTATTATTAGTTATTAGTTATTAGTTAGTTGATAGTTATATTATATAGTAGATAGATAAAAGGATCTTAATTGGCTATTAGAAATATGGTACAGCTACATAACACTGAGTAATATCTGTGATGTTACTATCATCTTACAAACTCCAAGTACCTCTGTACAAGTTTTATGTATTTTAGCATCAAATTAGTATGCCAAGTGTTATAGTACAAGAATCCCAAGTATCACTAACATGAACTTTAAGTGTCTCTGCATGAATCTCAAATATCTCTGCATAAATCCCAAGTGCCTTTGCATGGTATCAGGAAAATTTTAAAAATAATATATATTATTAGTAATCCTTATATTCCTATCGATATATAGCATTCCTGTTGGGTATTATCATTAGTGATTTATAACAATATATATCAAAATTTTGTTAAATTTTCTTAAACTTTGAATTTAATTTTTTTAATAACTAGTAATTCAAATTGGCTCAAATTCTTACTATAAATAATAAATATGTTCAACTATAATATACTAAAGTTTTCAACTAATTTAAATCAATAGTTCTTGAGAAATCACTTGTAATTGATAAGTAATTTTTTTAAAAAATTTAACTATCGTTTACAAGTGATTTCTTAAGAACTATTAATTTAAATTAGTTGAAACTTTAGTATATTATAGTTGAACATATTTATTATTTACAGTAAAAATTTG